GCGGGAAGCCTGCTTCTCCCTCTCCCACTCCCCCTGCTTGTGTTCCCTCTCTCGCTGTGTCTCTCTCTGTCAAATAAATAAATAAAAAATCTTCAAAAAAAAATTAAAAAAAAAAATATCAAAGGCAAAAATCAAAGCTATAGATTGCACCCACAATCTTAACCCAGAGGCCTAAAATAAACAGGTTACTTGCCTCTTCAAGCCCATAAAGTCTTTAAGCAAATTTAGACTTTCTGTCAGAAAAAAAAAAATTCTATTTATACAAGTTTTCTAACTCCCAGTTTAGATACCTAACATACTGTCCATAGGCTCCAATATTTTCAATTCTTTATAACAGAGCCAATACTCCACTGACATCTCTTTTGATGAGAAACAAACAGATTTATATTTCTATATATATGCTTCTAGAGGATTATCTATCTCCACTGTTAGACCTAGGGTTCTATGTAAATACAAAGGCAAAAAACTATACATGTAAAATAACTTCAATGTGAACCCAAGAAAAAGGGTTTGTCTAAGCTGCCAAGAGGCTGCCAACACAGCCTAGCCACCCTAAAAAATAATTAGGACAATACAGACTCAAGGTAACCACCAAAACAAATTTTTAAAATCTGCAACTGCCAAGTTAAGAAACCAAGGAGTACTAAAGAATATTTCATATATAAATCAACAAACAAAAGCGACACACCCACATTCTCTGTGGCTTTAAAGAACATCAAGGCTATTGATAGCCTTGAATGTTTAATGCACTCAAAACGATCACCACATAAAATTTTTTGATTAAAACCTTAAAGATTCAGAGTCATCATGGGGTGGGGAGATCTTCTGTGGTGACACTACAGATGACCTAACAATACATCTGAACAGAAACAAAATTAGAATCAAGTATTTAAAGCCGAGGGGTATTTTTTAAACAACCAAGAAGTTTGATTTTAAAGGTGATGAAACGGAGACTAAAAGAAGTCAACTGATCATTATGCTAACTGATCAAGAAATTCTGCAAAAGATCGAATAAAAAGGAACTTCATCATTTACAACTCTTTAACAACAGTACACAGCACTACTGAACAACTCAAATTAGATTTTCTTCTATTTCTATACACGTACACATACCACACACGTATACATACATAAACTTTAAAACTAAAAACTAGAAAAGGCTCAAGAGCCTACTCTGATGGTGACATTTATCTAAAGCATAGGATGCTATACCTTCACAACAGGTAGTTCAGAAAAACTGGCCTAATTTAAATTTTGACTGATGTCCAAGAAGGTCTTCTCATCTTAGCTACTTTCAATTTGTACCCAAATGCACTCCAAACTGAAGCAAGAGTCACCCCATCAACTAAAAAAAAAGGACTCCAGGAAATTAATTGGTCCACCTGTACTCATGATACCAGCAAGCCAAAGCATTTAAAAATGAAAAAAAAAATCTAAACAAATATATACCTCCATTTGAAAAATAAAATCTGAACTCCATCAAATGCCCTTAAAGTTCTAACTCTTAGCCAGTCCTCAATGGAAAGTTAATTGGGAAAAAATCTGAAAAGAACCAAACTCATACAACAGAGATAAATTTAAAAATCAAAGTAAAATTTCCCCAAAAAGCCTATCATTAGCAATAGGCTCTCAGCCATGAACTGATAAGCAACCAAAAACCAATTAGTTATGTTTCTCTTTAAGTTGCCTGTATATATACATTTATGTATATATTTAAGTTGTACCAAAAACTGCTTACAAATGGCAATTCCTGTGAAGTAGATGATGATGAAGTTCCAGGTAATTCTAGCATGTTTCCTAATGTACTGGTACTGGAGTCTGGATCATCCTGAAAAGATAAATTTATTGAGTTTAATTGCTCTTCTATGGTAACGTTTGTATCTCCTAGTGAAAAGGGGGCTGGGAGAAGGGCTGCTTTTTCATTGCTGCCGTCCACTTCATTTCTTTGCTTATTTTTCTGTGTTTCAGTTTGAGGAGCTAATGGCAAGAATGGCGATTTGACTGCACCGTGTCTACTCTCTGGTGTGCTGTCTTGTTCATTTCCCATGGCCACGTCTACACCATTCTCTGATTTAGGCTCATAATTGCAGGTGGCATTGGTCTGAGTTTCCTCAAAGATCTCCTCTATACTCTCATCCTCTGTGACTGGCTGTTCTGGGTCCATTTCAGAATCTACATCTGCATCGTCCACACAAGTAAAATTCTCAAAGTGCAGAAAGCCATTCTTGATAGTCTTTGTTACTTTTACCTGGAGTTCAGGGGAGTTATTACAAGAGGGTTCCTGTTTCATAGCAAGTGCTGTTGGACCACCAGGACTCAAAGAAGTGCAAACAACTGGCGACTGAGCTCTTGAATCACTTTTTTCAGGGTCTTGAAAGGATTCTGATCCATCAGCAGACCCATTTAAATACTCTACATTGATCATGGAGGCCAAATCCTGTAGTCTCCGCAGTGGAATGTAACAAGATGGAGAATCTTGTCCATAAGCATTTTGGGATGTTCCACTGGCAGTCGATAACTGCATAGTACACCCATTAAGTGGCTCAGAAAAATTGGATTGACCATTACCGAAAGGGCTGTCCTTGTCTTCAGGGGCATCTAAATTCACTGGATTGGAAAAGGGCAGCAGACAATTTCTTCTAGATACTTCACAGGTCTGATCCATCCTGGGCCAGCATCAACCTGGAATCCAAAAACAGCAATTAATCGGAGTTTATAGGCCATTTGACTCTTATCTTCAAAATGGCAGCCAATTCTCAAGGCCTAGTGGCCTCGATGCCTTTCTGCTGCACTTCCATGGGCGGAAAAAGTTCCCCAGCTGACGATGGAAAAATGGCCTCGGTGAGCCTCCGCAAACTCCATCTTCCCGGAGCTGGGCAGATCTTGCCACATGCAAACAGCCCGTCCCTTTTTCCTGCACTGCAGACTGGTGGACAGTTGGACTGAACTAAAATTAAAATCCCTTTGGCAGTAGAAATTCCTAAATCTCAAACAGGAATCGTCCTCCCCATCCCCCGCTGGGGGGGGGGTGTCCAGCGGCCGGATCTCCAAAAGGGAGGGGGCTGTAGGGCTCGAGGGGGGCTCCCGGACGCTGCACAAAAAGGTTACCCCCCCTCCTTCCTGGCTCGCTCGGGCGCAGCGGTCACAATAGCGCTGCACCCTGCGCCCAGCCGGCGCTGAAGCCCTTGCAGCGGCCGTGCCCAGGCCGCAGGCGAGTCGGCCGAAGCGGGTGCACCCCGAACCTCGCCTTCCAGACTGCAGGACTGCTCAGTCCACGGCTGCAGGGCCCAGAGGCCGGGACGCGGCAGGGGGAGAGAAACGGAGGCAGCCGGTGAAGCCGAGTCAGGGCAGCAGCAGCTGCTACAGCTTGACAAACATGGCTGCTGCCGACGCCGCCGCCGCCTGCCCGGGCCGCGCTCCTTCCCGCAGCCGCGGCAGCACCTCCTGGCCGAGCCGATCGCACTCATCAATATTAAGCAGCAAGCAAAGTTTGCTGCAGGAGGGCAGCCGGCCCCGCGCCCACCAGCCGGCTACCTGAGGGGAGGCGGAGGCCGTGGTGCGCGCGGGAGGCCGGCGGGGCAAGGGCCGCGCCGGGAGGAAGTTCGCGGCGGCCGGGCCGGCTAGGCCTGAGCCCGGCTGGTAGTGATGGAGGGGGAGGGGGCCCGC